GCTTTTTAGGATAGGAAAAGACATGTGATTAGTCTTCCATATGAATAAGATTTTGATGAAAAAATAATGATTAAGACAAAGGCAAGACCTTGTCAAATGAATTCTGAATACCTACAATTATGTAAAAATGAGATGAATATGTTATTAGAAAAAGGATTTGTCAAAAAGTCAAATTTTCCATGGTCATGTACTGGTTTCTAGGTAAATAAACATAGTGAGATAGAAAAAGGAAGACCAAGATTAGTGATAAATTATAAACCTCTTAACAAAGTATTAAAATGGATTAGACATCCAATCCCTAATAAAAAAGATTTATTGGATAGATTGATATTTTCTAAGTTTGACTTAAAATCTGGATATTGACAAAATTTTGATTGATGAGTCAGACCAATATAAAACTGCTTTTAATGTTCCAGTGGGTCATTTTGAATGGAAAGTGGTGCCATTTGGATTAAAAAATGCACCATCTGAATTTTAGAAAATTATGAATGATATTTTTATTCCTTATAGTGAATTTATTATTGTCTATATTGATGATATATTAGTATTTTCTAAAGATTACAATCACATTTTGATCATTTGAGTATATTTCAGAAATGAATAAAACAGAATGGATTTGTTATATCTCAATCAAAAATATCTTTTGTTTAAAACAAATGTAAGATTTTTAGGACATAATATTAAAGGAAAAATAATTCCTATTGATAGAAGTATTGAGTTTGCTTCTAAATTCCCAGATGAAATTTTCGATAAAACTCAATTACAAAGATTTTTAGGAAGTTTGAATTATATTCTACCTTATTATAAGAACTTAGCATATGATATTGCTACTTTGTATGAAAGGTTAAAAAAGAATCCAAAGCCTTGGACAGAGGAGCATACTAAGTATGTCCAAAAGATAAAAAGTAAAGTAAAAATATTACCATGTCTAGTTTTTGCAAATCTCAAATGGGATAAAATAGTAGAAGCTGATGCTTCAGATATATAGTGGAGTACTAAAACAAATATGTCCTGATGATAAACAAGAAAAATTGATACGGTATTACTCAGGAAAATGGACTCAAAGTCAGAAGAATTATGCTACAGTTGCTAAAGAAATTCTTGCAATTATTAAATGTATTTTGAAATTTCAAAATGATTTATATAATCAGAAATTTACGGTTAAAACAGATTGTCAATCAGCAAATATATGTTCGATAAGGATTTTAAACATGATGTTTCTAAGCAAATGTATGTTAGATGGCAAGCTAATTTAGCTCCTTTTGATTTTGACATTGTATATAAGAAAGAAAGAGATAACAATCTCCCTGACTTTTTATCTCATGAATTTTTACAGGATGATACCACGAGGAAATAACCATTTCAGAGGCCGAGGAGGAAGAGGTAATACCTTTTATAGAAGGGGTCATATCCTTTCACAAATTGGAAATAAAAAAAAATAATATCTGCAAATATTGCAATTGAGAAAGATTAGTCATTATATGAGAAATTATGAAATTTATGGAAAAAGAAAAACAAGATGAGGAAAAAAGAAAAGAAAATGGAGAATCATCCTCTACTGTATCATATGCAGAAACAGTCATGGTTGAAGATAATATTACTTCTTATCATGCTAACAGCAACAAGGATATTTTATTCTTTATAGAAGAAAAAGATTTGTAATGAGAAAAAGACCCATAGATTTTAATAGCAAGATATTTGGATACAGCATCATATGCTGCTATTTCATATAAAGCAAGGTCATACTATGAGAATATACTAAAAGCCTCAAATTCATGTGAGATAAGACACTTTTACTCCAATAGAGTGAATAATATATATAATTTTAGTAAGATTATTATTAAACAGATTATATCTGCTGAAGAATGGGGATTGTCAACATTAAAGGAAAAGGAATTTATACTTCCAGAATCTAAAATTTCTTTTAAATATAATTATTGGGACTATATTGATGCCTTTTATAAGGTATTTTTATATGAGAATCCTAATATGAAGCACTCATGGTTTATAAAGGTATGTGGAAATATTTATAAATTTCCTATGCCAAATTGGTTTACTCAATGGTGGTACACTTATGGACCATCAAGGAAAATACATCCTGACAGATTTACTCCATTATATGGGGAATGGATGAAGGTTTCGCTTAAGATTTCATAATTAATTACATCTAATAGATGTAATGAAGAAATAACTACACTGATATTCTTTGTGGAATTTTCAAATCCTTGGATTTGGAAATGGGTTCCAGAAGTTGGTTATACCGATAAAACAATACCGTGTTTCAAAAATTCTGGGATAAAATATTAAAAATTGACTCAATGACAAAACAATTCTGTGGACAAGATGTACTGGATGAAATTCATCTGAAAGTGACAGTATTATACTGAAAAACAACAGAATGAATCAATAAAAATTAATCCTTTCCAAGAGATATCCATGAAGATGAAATTACAAAAGGATTATATCTCCAAAGAAGACATGATTAAAGCTTATGTAGAAGAATTGAAACAAGAATTGAAAAAGAATCTGGCATATGGTCAGATGTGTCAATGACAACAACAACATCAAATGAAAATTGCTTAGCTGGAGAATCACAAGACCCAAAAGAAGACAAGGAAGATGATATGATAGACGAACGTCTCAACAAGTTAGCTGAAGAATTGAGAGAGGAGATAAAGGGGGACATCATCCTCAAGACAAAAGGGGACATCCTCAAGTAAGAAAAAAAAATTATAATATAATACAATAATGAAAAAGATAAAATTGTTTTAAATAAAGTAACTAAAACTCAAGTGTGGTGTAATAGTACTATTTGAAATTATTCGGATCTCAAAACCAAATTTTAGAGTCCGTAATATTACTAGAAGAATAGGCTATAAATAAAGTGCCATAAGCCTTAGAAGGGCACCAATCAGTTGAACTTTTTTGCTTTCTTTCTGTTCTTTCTCCCACTCCCATTGTAATGTATTTCAAGTTTGAAGTTTGAAGAATAAAAGCTTAGCTCATTTGTGGATATCTTTGTAAGTGTTTTTATTTATTTTATTTTTATTTTAGTTTATTCATAATGACAGCCTAATAAGTCTAATGGTTGGGATAAGATGATATTATTACTTGGATATACATAGTTATCATCCTGATAAAGGTAGGGTAATTTACTAATTAAGTGAAATTTTGCTGGAAGTAAGAGTGATTAACATTGGCCATGACTTTTATAAGTAGGGTTAGCCCGATTTGAAGCTGTGTTAAGGGTGTTGATCCCAAATGAAGAAATAAGATCGTAAATATGTAGGGAAATAGAGTTAAAGTTGAGTATTTATTTCCTAATAGAATTGATTGAGAAAAAAATCCTATAATCACTAAAAGATTAATTTACCAACAAAATAATAACATAATAATCTGTATAAATTAAAAAATTTTATGGACCCAACACTATTAATATATAGAGTTTTGGAAAAATTATTGTTAAGGGCGCGAGAAAGATGAAAATTATTAAGAAGGGCGTGGATTTTTATTTGTTCATTTCCATTAATATTAAAAGAGTTCAAAATATTATTCACTCACACAAAGACGACATTACCCTTCTTCTCCATACTTACCCTCGTCCTCTGCTTCTTATATGTCAACTTCTCAGTTCTCACATCAATTTAGTTTTACTCAACAAAAATTTTTTCTTCCATCTGGTTTCCCAAAATTAAAGTCAAACACAATTGCAGATTGACTTTCAAATCCTAACAATCTAATTATGCATACTCCCTAGCTAAGATTCACTTATACTGGAGTTACCACTCACCTCACTCTGTGGATCTTCCAACCTTTCAAATTCATTAATCTTAAACTTATAAATAAAAGACTGATTATTATGCTCTTTAACCTTAATCAGTCTCCGCAAGTCAACTTTCATCTCATCAACCGATTCAGGGTTCCCTCAAATCTTTGAAGGTTTACGAACGCCCGAAAAAAAAAAAAGAAATAATCAAAAGCACATAGCCATCGTCGCTTCCGATGAGGCATCATTGCTCAATAGTACAAAACTTATGCTTACAGTCGACAATGCGGGTTATGAACCCAACAGAAAGTGAGTTATCGTCGTGTTTGTCCAAATTAGATCTAGATGACTAGATGGATAAGTCATGTTGATATTGTTTAAGCAAATGAAAGAAGAGTGGAATGAAGACTACATTAGCATATAAATTAAGGTGACTTTAATTTGCGGCCATTTTCGGAGGAAAAATCAGGGAAACCGTGTTAGTGAATAAAAGATGAAGATGATTAGGTTGTGGAATAGGAGGACAACACAGTAAAAGTATTTTAATATTCATGGTTAAAAACTTGTGCCCTTTATAATAATTTTGGTCTTTTAGATGCCCTTTATAAAAATTTCCGTAGAGTTTTTATTGTATGTGTTTTTTTTTTCTTCTTCTGTTTAAAATGTGTGTAATGCTCCCCTAGCATTATTAACAAGGAAAATAGTACTCCCTCCATTCCAAAATAAGTGTCGTTTTAGCAAAATGGAGAAATTCCAAAATAAGTGTCGTTTTCACATTTCAATGCACTTTTTGTCAAAAAATTCCAAAATTACCCTCAAAAGAGTCGATGCTATTGGTGGACAATTTTATAATGGGGTTGGTTAAGGATATTCAAGTAATTTTATTACCCTATTTAAGAGTTTCTTAAACTATGTGCAAAGTGTAGAATGACACTTATTTTAGAATGGAGGGAGTAGTAGTTTGCTTTGATTTAGTTTGTCAACCTTAAAAATATGTAGCCGATCGAGGAGAAGCCTTATGCAATCAATCCAGTCAAAACTCTATTAAAATCCCCAACCAGAAAACTACAAATCCACAACCTGAGATTTATTGTTCCGGTTTAAAATATTTATTACTCACTCCCGCCCAATGGTGACGCAACTTTCTTTTTCAGACACATGAAATACTAATATAAAAAATCCAAACTTTGAACTTACAATACTAACAATACAAGTTTTGGTAATGGCAAAAAAAAAAAAAAAGATGGCCAAAACTATTCAAAATGGTGCCATCATTTTCATATTTGTCTTGACAATAGCAGCATTTCTTCCATTGGGAACCTCTGATCTCATGGAAACCACATGCCAAAAAACTCGCAATCCCGAACTGTGTGAGTACATTCTAAGGCATGATCCAAGGAGCTACGAACCCAATGCAGATCTCAAAGTTCTTACCTTAGTTGTCATCGATTCACTCATTTCCAAGACAGATTACACCCTCAAAGCAATCAAACAGATGCTAATAGACCGGCCTGAACTGAAAATCCCCTTAGACGAATGCGGCAACCAATTTGCTCTCATCCGGAACTTCTACATTCGTGATGCAATTGTGGCTGTAAATTCTGGCAATCCAAAGCTTGGGGAAGATATGATGTTTAGTGTGAATGATGCTGCTCATCTATGTGATGCTGCTTTTAAACCAAACCCTTCTCCTTTTGTTAACATCAATGCCATTTTTTATGACATTGCTGATATTACATCTGCTATGTTCACCCAGATGCAAATGTAATTTATTAGCCTTTCAGGAGGTTATTACCAAAACCAAAAAAAAGAACAAAAAATCGTTATTGTATTCGTTTTTTCTTATGGCAGATTATGGTAATCTGTGAACCAATTAATGAATAATCAGGTAAAAAAGTTAACCATGGCAGACTAAAATGTCCAAATGGTCCCTTACATTTGCGCCTACTTGAATTTATATCCCTAATATTAACATTTCAATATCATAGTCCCAAACATTATGTTTTTTAAACTTTTTCGGTCCCATTTCACTATTTCCGGTCGTTGACATACCGGAATTAATGGTATTTTTTGTCTTTTTATTTAATTTAAATTTCAATTAAAATTTAAATCATTAAAAATATTTAAAAATTCAGATTTCATTATTTAATTATTAAAATATTATTTATTAATTAAAAATATTATTATAAAATTTTAAAATTTACATTATTTTCAAAGTAAATTTTTTCATTTATCATTTATCTTAGGTCAAAGTAAATAGTAGTTATGTTGCACTGTTAACCTTAGGTTCCCTGTAACTTAAAAAATTTACCGAGTTACAGTAAATAATTTAAAATTTAATTTTTTTAAAAAAAACAAAAAGCAAAACTATTTTTTTTACTCTGACCGCTCCGTAAACCCTAAATGGTAATTATGTTACACTTTTAACCTTGGACCCAATATAATTTAAAAAATTTATCGAGTTACAGTAAATAATTCAAAATTTAATTTTTTTTAAAGAAAAACAGAAAAAGAAAAACCAAGATTTTTTTTTACTTTGACCGCTACAGTTGAATTTTGAATTATTTACCGTAACTCGACAAATTTTTTAAGTTACATTGGGTCCAAGGTTAAAAGTGTAACATAAGGGTTTACTGTAGCGGTCAATTACTTTGTTTTGCTTTTTTCTTTTTTTAAAAAAAAATTAAATTTTGAATTATTTACTGTAATTCGGTAAATTTTTTAAGTTACAGTGGGTCCAAGGTTAAAAAATCAACGTAGTGGTCAGAGTAAAAAATCTTGGTTTTCCATTTTTTTTTTTGGAAAAAAAATTGAATTTTGAATTATTTACTGTAACTCGGTAAATTTTTTAAGTTACAGTGGGTCCAAGATTAAAAGTGCAACATAATTACCATTTAAGGTTTACTATAGCGGTCAGAGTAAAAATGATCTTGGTTTTGCTTTTTCTTTTTTTTTAAAAAAAATTAAATTTTGAATTATTTACTGTAACTCGGTAAATGTTTTAAGTTACAGTGAGTCCAAGGTTAAAAGTGTATTATAATTACCATTTGGGGTTTACTGTAGCGATCAAAGTAAAAAAAATCTTGGTTTTACTTTTTCTTTTTTTTAAAAAAAAATTAAATTTTGAATTATTTATTGTAAGTCGGTAAATTTTCAAGTTATAGTGGGCCCAAAGTTAAAAGTGTAACATAATTACCATTTAGGGTTTACTGTAGCGGTCAGAGTAAAAAAAAATCTTAGTTTTACTTTTTTGTCTTTTTTTTAAAAAAAATAATTGAATTTTGAATTATTTACTGTAATTTAGTAAATTTTTTAAGTTACAGTGGGCTCGAAGTTAAAAGTGTAACATAATTACTATTTACTGTGTACTTAAAGTAAATAGTAAATGAAAAAAGTAATTTTGAAAATAATGATAAATTTTAAAATTGTATAATAATATTTTTAATTAATAAATAATATTTTTAAAATTAAATAATGAAATTTGAATTTTAAAATATTTTTAATGATTTAAATTAAGTTAAATGAAAAGATAAAAATACCCCTGATTCTGACATGTTAACGGCCGGAAACAGTGAAATGGGACCAAAAAAGTATGAAAACATAATGTTTGAGACTACGACATTGAAATATTAATATTTGGGATGTAAATTCAAATAGGCTCAAATATAAGGGACCATTTGAACATTTTAGTCTTTATTAGAGGTTATTACCAAAGCCCAAAAAAAAGAACAAAAAATCGTTATTGTATTCGTTTTTTCTTATGGCAGATTATGGTAATCTATGAACCAATTAATGAATAATCGGGTAAAAAAGTTGACCAGTTATCTTGTCAAATCTTTATCTATCAAGGTTAATTATTTAACATCATTGCTAACATTGTTGAAATTTCAAATCTTTATCTATGGTTTATCAGATCATTACTTTCATCAATATATGTGCAAATCTATTTGGATTACGAACCATTTCATGGACAAGAAGAGTACATAATTTTGTGAGCTTTTTATAGTCTTGCAAATGCTTGAACGAGATTTAGATACGCTTAGAAATTTCTCTAATGTTAACAGATTAAACATTCGTTACACTTATCAAAAACTGAAAGACCATAAATAAATACTCAACTTTCTATTTTGTTTAATCAATGTTTGAGTTCTTGAATGATTATTGTCCTTTATTTTTGAAAAAAAAAATCAGATGCAAAATATGTATCCGAGAATCAAAATTTGATAATGAACGAACGTTCGCTGCGATATGGGCATAACGCGACTTTCATTATCTTTGTCTGTCACCAAAGACGGGCAGCACAGGACAAGCCTGTGCAATCAATCTTGTCAAACGATTTTAGTCTTCCAACCACAAATTTACCATCTGAGATTCCATAATATGGTGAGCTATATTTATGACTCTTCCATTTAAAAAAATGTCATGTTTGTTAATTTTAGTTCAATAAACTTTTTTTTTTTAACCGGAACGGACATAATAGTAGTATAAAAGTAGATCTCAAAGCTCAAAACCAACAATTACAAGTTTGGAAGCTCCCAACAAACTGAAGTAACTCAACCATAAGAAGGGAAACAAAAAAAAAAAAAAGATGGCTCAAATCCTTCAAAATTGTGCCCTCATTTTCATAGTTGCCTTGACAATAACATCATTTCTTCCATTTGGATCTTCTGATCTAATCGAAACCACATGCCAAAAGACCCCAAACGTCCAACTCTGCGACAATATTCTAAGGAATGACCCAAAAAGCTCAAGTGCCAATCTCGATGGCCTTACACTCATCATCATTAACTCACTCGCATCCAAGTCAAATTACACCCTCAAAATGATCGATCAGATGCTCAAAGACAGGCCAGAATTAAAATCCCCCTTGACTGAATGCTGGAACCATTACAATGTCATCAGTACATTCTTCATCCTTGATGCTATTGAGGCTGCAAATAATGGTGATGTTCGGCTTGGTGAAGAGAGTATGTATGAAGTGAAAGATTTTGCTGGTCAATGTGATGATGAATTTAAACCCAACCCTTCACCTTTTGTAAATGTCCATCAGATGGTTTCTGACATTGCTGATGTCACTTCCTCTATGTTCACCATGATGAGTATGTAGTTTATTATTGGTCTTTGGGGATCACAAAATGAAAAAGATTGTGTCTTTTTTTTTTCTTTCAGTACTACAGATTATGTTACTTTATGAAGTAATGAATAATTTGAGTTTAAAATGTTGACCATTGTTTTCTCATGAAGCTTAAATAGATTCTTTAACAGCATTAATTGGTCGGGAGATGGACCTGACTTAAATCTCATTTAATACAGTTTTGTCTGTAGCTTGTAGAAGGTCTAATAATTCAATCATTTCTATGATTTTTCGTCAAATGGAGAACAAAGGAATCAGGCCAGAGTTCACCATCCTTTTGAAAGGCTCTTTGTCAAATTCATTGGATTTTGGATATTAGTAGAAAAACAAGTTTGGCTACTATGATGAATCATTCCTTATTACATTGTTACACAGGATTCCCAATTTTTTTCCTATTCATATGTTGAATTAAAATAATATCACAGCGTGATCTATAATGTGGGATGAGCAAGCATTTTAATCACCAGATGTACACAACAACGAGAGAACACAATCGGTATCTATAGTTTTCTCCGAACACTTTATAAGCATTGGCCCAGAAATATATATAGCTTCCGAATCTCGTTTTGCACAATATGGAAAAAAGAAACGAAAGCAAAGTTTTTTACAAGACACCGTTATTTTCCGTTAGAAATGGAAGTTCACAGTCAATAGACTTTATACTAACCGAGAAACAAGGCCAAATTTGATTTTGTTATTTCTCTCATTTTTAATTAGAGTGAACCAGAAAACAATTCAGTGAATTATTTGGTATTTCCATCACAGGTTATCAATCAAATTTATTTGTAAAATAGGTCGTTTCGTACTAACCAAAAAATTCATCCGAGATTATTCTGTTAATTTTGACTGTTAAATAGTGACGAAAATTTATTTTTTATTACATGCTTTTGGGTTCAGGTGTATATTTGTCAATTTATAATTTTAGAAATTTATTTTTTTAAAAAAATTAATTTTATTTTTTTCAATAATTATTTTTATACTTCCTAACTTGTATATGTTGGTAGTATAATTTATAAATTTCAAAAATTAATTTAATTTTTGTATTTTAACTTCTAAATTATAAAATTTTTAAAAAAAAAATTTAAGAAATGAAGAAGAAATATTCGAGTTGAAGTAAATATAAAAATTAATAGTTTACTATTTTAAACCAAAAGAGAAACTAAAAAATTAGCTAAGAAAAGTTGCTTCTTGCAGTTATTTGATTATTTTAAACTCAATTTAGTTATTTAATTATCAATTTTCACGTTAACTTTAATTTCAATTTTCTTCTTTATTTCTTTTTCTTCTTTATATTTAATAATATAGAAGTTAAGATAAAAACAAAAAAACTAATTTTTGAAATTTAATGATTATACTACTACGAACATTTACAAGTTTGGAAGTAAAAAAAGAAGAATTGTAAAAAAATAATTAAAATATTAATTATTTTAAAAACTATATAAAATGATAAAATTATCCCTGGACTAAAAAGCATGTGAAAAATATCTTTCCATCACGATTTAACTCCTAAAAACCTAGGCGAAACAACTTTTCTTAGCTGAAAGCTGTTTTGGATGTTAAATCGTGATGGAAAGATATTTTTCACATGCTTTTGGGTCCGGGGATAATTTCATAATTCTGTATTTTTTAAAAAATATATTAATATTTTAATTAATTATTTTCACAATTCTTCTTTTTTGTTACTTTCTAACTTGTGTATGTTGGTACTATAATAATTATTAAATTTAAAATCTAACCTATCATTTGTATCGTTGTGTATGTTGGTACTATAATAATTATTAAATTTAAAATCTAACCTATCATTTGTATCGTAACTTCTAGATTATTAAAAAAATGAAGAAAAAATAAAGAAGAGAAGTTCAAATTGAAGTAAGTGTGAAAATTAATAATTAAATAATTGAATCGAGTTGAAAATAATTAAATAACCTAGAAGAAACAACTTGTCTTAGCTAATTTTGTTTCTTTTCTTTTTTTAAATGATAAACTATTATTTTCATGTTTACGTCAACTCGAATTTTTCTTCTTCATCTTTCTAATTTTTTTTTTTTAAAAAAACTTATAATCTAGAAGTTAAAATATAAAAGTTAAATTAAATTTTGAAATTTAGAAATTATACTACCAACATATACAAGTTAGGAAGTATAAGAAAAAGACTTAGAAAAAAAAATTAATTTAAAATAAAAAATTTTAAATAATAAAATTTTAAAAATAACAAAATCACAAAAATACTACATAAACCAAAAATCACGTGAAAAATGTATTTTCGTCACTATTTAACGGCCAAAATTAATAGAATAATCTCTGTTGAATTTTTTGCTTAGTGTGTTGATCTATTTTACAAATAAATTTGATTGATGACCTGTGATGGAATTAGAGAATAGTTCGATGACATGTTTTCTAGTTGACTCTTCTAATAAAAACATATTTAGCAGTAATTTTTTGTTTCGGGCCTAAAAGACATAGCTATTTTGACAAATTATCATCTCTTTTGAAACATTCTTTTTGAGTTTTCGGTTCTGAATCTTGATCAGTTTTTGGTTCAGCTTCTCTAATTCAAGTTCTTGATGGTCAAAACAAGAACTCACAAAAGGTTTTTGTCAGAAACTGATGCTTTATTGATGCAGACAAAATCCCTCTTCATTGATGATGATGATCGGTTGTTTTGAGAATTTCTTGAGTTAAACAAAGAAATTTAACATAGATAACTGTTACTATTTGCAGAAATAGAAACCCCCCAACATGTTTACAAATTCACTGGATGAGATGCATTATTTAAGTTGGTTACATTATTATTCCTTCCGTACTAAAAAAGACGTTGCTATTAGTGTTAGTCATATGAATTTTATTTTTCTTGATATGGACAGAGCAGTATAAAACTAAATGTTGGAGCACAAAAACCATGACATGTTCATAAGCTCAAAAACCGCATGTAGTTAAACGATTATAGTCTCCTACGTACCATATGGTTACAACTTACAACTTCACCACAACTGAGATGTATATTATTTTATTTTGTTACATATATTACTCTTTCCATCCTAAAAGAGAGTCGTGTTTGTTGTTAGTTTTAGTCATGTGGATTTTATTTTTCTTGGGATCGATTGAGTAGTATAAAACTAAACGTTGAAGCTCAAAAACCATGACAAGTTCATAAGATCCTTACAAGTAACAAGTGAAGTAACTCTACCATAAAAGAAAAAGATGGCTCAAATCCTTCAAAGTTATGCCATCATTGTCATTGCTGCCTTCACAATAACATCATTTCTTCCATTGGGATCCTCTGATATAATAGAAATCACATGCCAAAAAACCCCAAACGTCCAACTCTGCGACAATATTCTAAGGAATGACCCAAAAAGCTCAACTGCCAATCTCAATGGCCTTACACTCATCATCATTAACTCACTGGCATCCAGGTCAAATTACACCCTCAAAATGATCGATCAGATGCTCAAAGACAGGCCAGAATTAAAATCCCCCTTGACTGAATGCTGGAACGATTACAATGTCATCAGTACATTCTTCATACTTGATGCTATTGAGGCTGCAAATAATGGTGATGTTCAGCTTGGTGAAGAGAGTATGTATGAAGTGAAAGATTTTGCTGGTCAATGTGATGATCAATTTAAACCCAACCCTTCCCCTTTTGTAAATGTCCATCAGATGGTTTCTGACATGGCTGATGTCACTTCCTCTATGTTCAGCATGATGAGTATGTAGTTTATTATTGGTCTTTGGGGATCACAAAATGAAAAAGATTGTGTCTTTTTCTTTTTTCTTTCAGTACTACAGATTATGTTACTTTATGAAGTAATGAATAATTTGAGTTAAAAATGTTGACCATTGTTTTCTCATGAAGCTTAAATAGATTCTTTAACAGCATTAATTGGTCTGGAATGGATCGAGCTATTACGCAGAAGGCCTAATTACTGAATCATTTTTAAGATTTTTTGAAGGTCTTTGTCAAAGTCATAGAGAAACAAGTTTGGCATCATAAATGTAGTATGAAACTGTGAATCATTCCTTTATCTCATCATTACCCAATTTTACCTGTTCATTTGCTGAATTAAAATATGGAACAAGAAGGAGAGAAAAATGATCGTTTTATATCGTTTTCTCCAAACACTTTAAAAAGTATTGGCCTGAAATATAGCTTCCGAATCTCGTTTGAACAAATGGAAAAATAAAAACAAAGGCAAAGCTTTCACAAGATACCGTCATTTCCGTTAAAAATGGACTTTATACTAACCGAGAAACAAGGTGGCCTTCACGTACGAAAGAAAATCACTGCCAAATTTGATTATTTCTCTCATTTCCAATAAAAACATATATATGCAACATTAAATTTTTGGTTTGGGCCTAGAAGACATTGCCATTTTGATAAATTTCCATCTCTTTGATTTGATTCTTTTTGAGTTTTCGGGTTCTGAATTCGAACAAATTCTTCACCTGTTTCTGGTTCAGTTCATCCAATTCAAGTTCTTGCTCATTAAACGAGAACCCGCGAAAAGATTTTCGTCTGAAACGGATGCATCTTGATTGATGCAGAAAAACATCCCTCTTCCTTGATGATGATGATGATGATGATGATGCATTGTTGTGTGAATTTGTTGGGTTAAAACAAAGAGATATTAATATATTTAGAGACAATGGGGGTAGATTACTATAATATATTGAAGGTGGAAAGAAGTGCCACAGAAGATGACCTGAAAAAAGCATACAGAAGATTGGCAATGAAATGGCATCCTGATAAGAATCCTAATAACAAGAAGGAAGCAGAGGCCAAGTTCAAGCAAATCTCTGAGGCTTATGATGTAAAAAAATTTCTATGATTTCTTCTCTTTCCCAGCATGTTAGTTATCATGATTTATGGGGAATTATGTGTTTTTTTTTTTAACATACATTTGATGTCTTGGCAAATGGTGATAGTTTTTGTTTTTTTTTTTTTTTTCTGAAAACTGTTAAATGCACCAAGTATGAATCAGAGTAGCTAAGGATGGATTGAAAGTTTTTCGGTTTATGTGTCAGGTCTTGAGTGATCCACAGAAAAGGCAGACTTATGATCAATATGGGGAGGAAGGTTTGAAAGATATGCCTCCATCTGGTTCAGGTGGAGGTGGATTTCAAAATGGGTTCAATCCTCGAAACGCAGAGGACATTTTCGCGGAATTCTTCGGTAGCAGCCCCTTTAACTTTGGATCAACAGGGCCTGGCAGATCAACAAGGTTTTCATCAGATGGAGGAGGACTATTTGGAGGATTTGGTGGGAATGAGAACATTTTCAGGACATATAGTGATGGAACTGGTGCTTCTATGCCCAAGAAACCGCCTCCAATTGAGAGTAAATTGAATTGCAGCCTTGAGGAGCTCTACACCGGGTCTACTAGGAAGATGAAGATTTCTAGATCAGTTGTTGATGCTAATGGGTGAGTTTTCCCTTCTGTAAATGGCCAATTTTTTATTTTTATTTATTTTTTGAAATAACGATGGCAACTTATAATCCGTATAGACAACCAGCCAATGTAGTAAGATTAAGGTCGCTGTTTACTGATCGTGTATGTGAGGTTTGATTCTTATGTAGGCGATTGGCAACAGAAACAGAGATTTTATCAATTGAAGTGAAACCCGGATGGAAGAGAGGGACGAAGATTACATTTCCGGATAAAGGGAATGAGCAGTATAACCAGCTTCCTGCGGACCTAGTGTTTGTGATTGAAGAGAAACCTCATAATGTGTTCAAGAGAGATGGAAATGATCTCATAATGAATCACAGAGTGACACTTTCTGAGGCATTAGGTGGGACGACCATAAACACGACTAGTCTAGACGGGCGCGAATTGTCGATCCCTGTGAATAACATCATCAGCCCAGGTTATGAGCTTGTGGTTCCCAGAGAGGGGATGCCTATAGCAAGGGAGCCTTCTAACAAAGGTGATTTGAAGATCAAGTTTGACGTCAAGTTTCCAACAAGATTGACGCCGGAGCAACGAGCAGCCATCAAACATACTTTGAATGGTTAACAACTGGGTTGGAGATGGGAGAAGAACTTTTTTCTGTAGATGACTAATATGTTTAGGATGACTTTTCTGTATAGTGTTTCGGTAGATTTAAATGGTTTGTAATAGATATATTGAATCTGACAAGACAATCTTATCAATTATCAATCGGAACTGGAAATTTATTTCATAATAAGCAATTGTATGATGCATGATGCACTTAACAAAAGTACTAAAAATTAAGGTTAGACAAAGACGAACAGCTTCTAGATCTGATCAACCGAACATCGGTTTAGATTACAAAATGAACCTCGTACAAAGCTAAAAAGGGATTATGAGAACACCCAGAAAACCACTATTCCTTAAAAGAAAGACTATAAAGAAAGAAACCCATCATTTACATTGTAAGTTGTAACAGACTTTGAGGTAACAAAAAGAAAATCAGTAACCCCTGCTTCTCGAACCATAATACTGCCCCCCACCTCCGGGTGGCTGTGCCGCCCACCTGGGATCCTGATGGCGGCTGGCTGGAATGTCATTCACAATATTGACTGTGGCTCTAGAAGGGGTCATAGGTGGATTCAAAATATGCTGACCAGCTAAATGTCTGTTACCGTAAGGAGATTGCAAAGGCTGATGAAGACTACGAGAAGGAGTCTGAGGTGGTTGCGGCCGCCATTCAGGGAGGACATCGTCGTCATCATCATCATTCCAAGGTTCAAATCCCGCACCAACAGCTGGTGATTTACCTACCCAGTTCCTACTGCTACCACTACCACTACCACTATCAGTACTATCTCCACTTTGACCATACTTGTGAATTAGTTCCCTAAGATGGTCCACAGGGCGAGACGCAGAGGGACCCGGGTTGGGAATCCTCATACCGGTTTGAACATTTGTCCTAAGATTGTTTTCTTTCCGACTGAAGTTGAACTCAGGCAAATCATCAACATCCCTGGAACCACCAGGTGGACCAAAACCAGGTGGTATATCAGAATCATCATCGTCATTTGGGGGCTGAGCAACTACTGCTTTGGCAGGGGTTGGTAGTAATGGTGGTTTGTTCACGTTATTCACTTTTACATTAGCATCAATATCTTGATGATGTCTCCTACTAGATGATGATGTATTATGTTGCTTTTTCAAGATGCCGTTAGTTGTGCTATGTCTCTGATGGGAAGATGCCGAGTTAGATGATATCGTAGAACTCTTATGAGCTTTTCTCCATACAATCACACCAATTAGGCCATTATCAGATGAGTTAAAGATGTCGGTTCGGTCCTTCGAGACGTAGTTGCTCAGCATGTCAACTACTCTCCCACGAGTAGGGCACAAATAGAGCTCAACTCCACTGGCTGGCTCAGCAAACCCCAACCTATTGTCCGTGACATAAGACTCAATCGCCTGCCACCGGCAATCGAAAAGTTAAAAGGAAGAACAAGACCTAATACAAACGTGCAACTCAGTAAAGGAAAAGTAGAATTAAAGTAACAAGAACAAACCTCATGGAGGCTGGCTCGCTCTGTATCATCCGAATTGTCTTTTAACACGAAGTGAATGACCTGCACATGGAAAATTTAGCTTTTAGATCCAAAGAAAGCAACTTTAAAACCTTTATAAAACCCATCATACATGTAATAAAATTTAGCTGCGTCTGTAATTTCAAACTAAAATATTTAAATTGACTACTTTTTTAAGTTTCAAATTTGTTCAGTTTCATAACTGAATCATTTCATAATAAAAAATAAGACGTTTCAACCTAAAACACGAATCCTTTCATATCCTTTCTGAAGTGGGTCGATAAAGAACAGAGAGTTCTATTTATACATCCAAACGCCCAACAGTATAATTTGGTCCCAGTATTTAGTTGCCGTTACTTTCCCACTCATTTATCTCACTTAAATCACGTGATTACATTGGCATCAGAAAACAAAAATGCCCCTTGGATGTTGTTCCTGATTGCAGAACTCATTCGGAGTACACGATTCTTAGATGAATTCAGGAAAATGACACTAATTGCACCACACACGTCTACGAATTCCCACTCGTCGCAACTCTTATCTATAAACAACTTTGCAAGCTAGATGGGAAAGTGAAATTCGATTGATAAATTTCGCAAGCAGAGAACTTGCAAATGCCTTGCTCTTTTCATACTTTCCATAAATTTGTAAGCAGAAAAAAGGAACATCACACGTTCTTATCAAACGAAAAGGGCTCCCTGCGGCATGAAGAGTAAGCAGGTGCCTCAAGAATAACAAACTGAGAAATGCATAACGAAAACCTATAAGAAGGGGGCCTTGAGGTACCATGACTGCACGACTTCGAGAATTAGGGAGGTCTTTGACAAACTTCTCAAACGCGTCAAGCCTAACTCTCCCCTTGATCTCTAGAGAGCTTGGCCATTCTGCTACTGATGTTTTTTCACCGCTGCAAGAAAAATAACGTATGAGCCACGAGCAACACACTAGGTAACACTCAACATGCCAAAGAGAAAACAAAACTTCCAATCATGTCTATTATACAAGGTCTTCCAATGTATAATAATATTCTATCTAAAGCAAGAAGATATGTACAACACCAAGCAATGCAAAATATCTCAATCTAAATTTCTCAAGAAAGAAGAGGATGCAATTACGTTAACTTGATCACAATGGTAGAACCATTTAAGGTTTTCACCATGACTAGCAGAATCTGTTAGCCAATAAATTTGCAATAACCAGCCAGCAGAAACAGATCATTGACCCACAAAATAATCACGAAATTTGGAGAAAATAATCATTTCCTTTAGGCAGAAACCAAAAAAAGACCAACACGCAGTGAGCAAGGGTCAATAACTATTTCAAGAAGTGTTTGGTTTCTGTCTATTTCTCTAAATTCCACATTTTAGACTCAAGCCTGTTCCTTCGGGAAATGCAGTTTTTATAAATTCTAATATTACTAGTTCAAAAACATCCAAACATCACCATGAGAGGTTTCCTGCTCAGTCCTTCAGAAACTCCCCAAAAAAGATTCACACTTCAGTGTACCATTCCACCATCTCTAATGTAAGGAACAGTACCTGAAACCAACGTCCACCACTGCTTAATGGCCAACTATTAAAAATTTGTACATCCTATGAGTACATGACAGGAACACAATCATATCTATTGTGCAGAATCTCAGAAAAAGTAAAATAAATACAAATAAGTAAAAACGTGGAAACACAAGTAAGAAAATCCATGAATCTCCCATACTGCGGCTGAAAATAAGTAGCTGTTAAAAAAAGGTGCCCAATAATGTTGCTAGAAAAGGAGAACCATACCTTGTAAACACACTAAACACTCTGATACTTGAAGAAACACTGAGTTGAAGTGCCCCTTCCCAAACTCGTTGAGCTGTCGGGACACTAGGACGGGGAGAAATATTCTGCTTGACAGGGCTCTCTTTTGTTTTCACAGTCTCACTTACTGCAGCTTGTGTAACCTCTTTATCAGTCTTCTCTGGAGAGTCTGCATGAACTTTGGAACCTGAATCTGAACCTGACACATCATTAGAATCATCTGTCTTCTCTTTCTCAGCAGGCGGTGTAGATTGTCCAGCATTGCCTTCCAGATTTTCAAATGGAGGCTCAGAATGAAGCGATTCCATAAATTCATCAAGTGAAATGATAGGAGGAAGAAATTCAGCCTCTTTGAATTCGTCCACTATCATTCCTTGCATTAAATCAGACCCATCACTAGGAATGACCAAGCTACCTGAATGATCCAGATTTTCAGAAGTTCTCTTCTGGCTAGGCAATTTTCCTAAGTCTTCTGTACCTTCTAACTTGGGAGAACCAGTATCAATGTTTCTACTTTTGGTTTGTGTCTGGGTAACTTCAGAAGGCCCAGCAGACACTTCCATGACAAGATCATCTTTTTCCTCCATTTCTACTTGATACTCACCCTTATGTGTCTTCTTAACTAATCGTCTCATATCAATATCTGTATCTGGTAAAACAACCATCTGAGCAAGCTCCTCAGCTTTTGCTATACGCCATTCTGTCAACTCCTTCGAGGCAAGCTCTTCAGCTGTCATTGTACACAATCTCTCAGGGGTAATTTCTCCAGACACGACCCTTTCTCTAAGTTCAGGATTTGAACGATCTTTCAGATTAAAAAGAAGAGACCTTCCCTTCTCCTTGTACTTCTTATTCACACCTCCAAATAACTTAAACAGCTCAGCTTCAATTTGAGTAGCCAAGTCTTCTGGGGATAATTTCTTTTCTCTATCACTAAGATTTTTACTTCCTTCATCAACAACCTCAGATTTCTCAACATTAAACTTTTCCTTATCATCAGTCAGCTGCATGTCAAGATCAAAGGCCCATGAAAGCCCATTTCCTTGTAAAAGGTCATCTTTCACAAAGAAATTGTCACTGAAGGAAACATTTTCATCTGGAAAAATCATTGGGCCACCCAAGTACTCATTAGGTGGAAACTTAGCAGAGAATCCTTGAGTATCATCAGGTTTATCAGCCGAAATACAGTCTCCTTCCTTAACAGGTTCACTTGATTTTGATTTTTGATCCTGACCAACGGATCCAGGCTGCTGCTCCTCAGTCATAGTTTGAGGGTTACTACTCATAGCGTCTTGATCTTTTTCTTGGCTGGCAGTTTTGTCCTGATTTTCAGACACCAAAGCCAGCGCAACAGCTAATTGTTCCCTCATTTTCGACCTAACAGCAGCAGATGAATTATCCTGGGCTTTAGATGATGGCCCATTTTGAACTGTCCGACCTTTTGGTGTCTGCACCCGCTGGTTCCCAGATCGACTAGATATTGAATCACTTCGAACCATCTTTTTGTTCGATACTTGTAGATTTTGCATAGCTGAAGAGTCAATCTTCGATTGCACCGGCGTAGGTTTGCTATTTGGTAAAGATGACTGCAACATTTGAGAGACCCGTGGGGCAGTTCCCAACTGCTGCACGTTACGCTTATTTGGCATCATGAAGTGTTGAGGAAGATGTACTGTGCCTTCTGCATCAGCCTTCCGTTTGCTCGGCAGAAAAGCTTTTTTTGGACTTAAATTTGGCAGCATTCCTTCAAAGGACCCAATTCCAACATTCCCAGATTCCAAATTTGTTCCTCCGGATTCTTTCCTAGACACAATTAGGCTCTGGAAGCTAGAGTTCTTGGCACTTGGATCCACTACACCAACTTGCCCATTAGAAACAGCAAAATTGAGTGACATGGGGCTATCCTGTAAGTTTGCCGGGGGAGCGTCCATTGTAAAGTTATCTAAATGTGTGATCTGCCCATCCGGAAATTGGAACTGCTGGGAAATAAGATTGTTGGACATGATAAAGCCAGCAACACCAAAACCTGCAGATAGGAACGCACTCAGATGGTATGCAATACAAGAGCTCTAAAAAGGAAGAATGCGCCTCCAACATCTCCGTCCATCTTCTACTTAACAAATCAGCAACAATCCAAAAAAGAAAATTAAACAACAAAAACACCAACCAAAAAAATACACAAAAAGGTCAATTACATCCAATACAGGCTACAATTGGTACTAAAAGTCTTATAAGAAATAAAACACTCGGAGGATTCAGCAAATTAAAAAACCCACATCTGGTTCCACTAAACATTCAAATCAGACCAAATAAAAACCCTATCCCTATCTAAGGAATAAAAATCTAATTCCAATACAGCATGCAAATACAACAGCAATCAAAACAACAAAAAGAGTTAAAATTAACACAAATCCAATTTCTGGATGAAATAAATCAAAATTAATGAAGCGAGAGCGAAAAAAACAGCTAAGAAACATAGCAAAATCCAGGTAGGTATACTTGGGCACAGCTAAATGAAACCCTAACAATGAAATTCATAGTCGATAGGGGGAAGGAAAATCCAATTACAGCAGAGGCCGGGAAAGCGAGACTTACCTAATCAAAATAATTCAGGAAGCTGAAATGATGGGGGGACGAAGAGTTGAGATAGGTGGAGAGAAGGCGGAGAGTAGCGGTGGTCGGGAGGAGGAGGAGAAGAGAGAGTTACGAAGATGTGGTTGAAGAAAACCACATAGAAGCCCTAGAAAGAGCTGGATGATGAATCCGATTACATTTATATGACAATCCGAGTCAAAAGTGGGTTATTGGGTCAGAGAAGAACCCGCTACGAGATCCACTGGATATTGCGGTGGTTTTTTATTGTATTTTTATAAATAATAAATAATTCTAATATTAGAGATAAAATATGTACATAGTATATTACTCCCTCCGTCCCACTAAAAGTGAAATCTCAAACTGGACAATAATTTTGGGACGGAGGGAATACTTATTATTACACGTATGTTACACGTATATTAGGCGTTTATTAGAAACTAGTACTTGAGCATTCGATGCGCGACGCACCCTATAAATAATATAGAACTTGAAATCTTCGTTTCTAAAAATCTTGGTTTCGCTTTCACCCTTTCTAAATTATTTTTACAAAATTTTTATGTTTGAAACTTCAGAAACAGATATCTTGAAAGCTCTGGTAGTACTACTTATTCAGTACTACTTGTTCGTTGATTTTCTTCATCAAGAAAATTAACCACGTTAGAATTTCGTTGATTTTCTTCATCAAGAAAATTAACCACGTTGGAATTTTAGTACCTAACGAAAAAACGATCAAAATATGACAACCAAGTAACCAAAGATCATATTTTACCATTAATAAATTTCAACTATTAACTATCATCTATTTTTGAGGAGCATAAGACAATTAAAAACTAAATTGTGATCAAAATTAAAAGCAAATAATTATATATGCACCCTATAAATATTCTGGTGTAGTTTGATTACTATTTGGTGCGTATGCGTTCTGTTTATTATTACCTCAGTAAAATTCATTGTTGATGATTATAGAGAAGATACAAAGTAATAATTAATGTACGGAAACATTAGCAGGGGATAAAAATTACAACCGTCGGAGCAAATGTGAAAGGTAGACTTGTGTCTTATGTGGCAAGATCGAATATCTCATGATAAACAACATTTTGGGTTCTTGTATCTTTGACCACGACGTCTAAGTCAGAGGCATAAGTTCTACCCTGAATACCCGCGTGACTTAATAATAGTCATTGCGAAACAAAGTATTATAGGAAATTATTACCAAATTAAAAAAGAATGAAAAAACAAAGTATGAAAGTAACAACATTAAAAAAAAGAAAGATTAAAAGATTTTTTTTGGAAAAAAAAAATAAGAGAAAAATACTAAATAATATCCTAGTGTTACCAAAAAAAATTAAAAATTAATTAGAAAAGGGGAAAAAGGTACACTTTTTTCGAAATTTAATGACATAACTAGTAAATTAAATAGAATAAATTGGAATGTGAGGAATTTATAAAAATAATTATTTATAAGATTAGTAAAGTAATTCTACACCAAATAAATTTAGAGTAAAGAAAAAAAGAAAATATAAAATGGAAAAAAGATAACAACATTAAAAAGTAATAGAAAAATATTAACAAAAGTTTTTTTTTTGGGAAAAAGGGACAACAATTCTAAAATATATCCCCTGTTACCAAAAAAAATTAGAAATTATATGGAAAAGGAAAAAAGAATTTTTTTCGAAAAAAGAAAAGCCTAGCAAGTAATAAATCACAAAGAGAAAAACCCGTTTGTCATGAACAAATGATATCTAATATTTTTTTCATATTAGTGTTGGTTACAACGTTAAAAAAATTATAAAACAATAACAAAGAGAAAACAAATAATAAACAAGACTACACTACCAAAAATTGATATTAGAAAAAAAAATGAAAATTATTTAAAATGAAAGAGAGAAATTTTTTGAAAAAAATTAAACTTACTTTCAACATTTGTGAACATAATTAATACATTACTTAATTAGAAAATAAAGAATTGAGAAAAGGTAAAGCAACCCAAAAAAAAATTAAGAAAAGGAAAAATAATCAAAATTTGGAAAAAAATTAAAAATGGAAAAGGGAAAAAAAGGTTGCACACGCGGATCATTCATATAACCTCGTTGATCCGGAAGTTTGTCGGGCATGTATGAGTATTTGGAAGGTTATTAAAAAATGCGACGTCGTTTGGAGAAGAGGGGTGTTTGAAAAAATTAAAAAATCACAAATATGTAATTACGGTTATGTTCTCAATTAAAAGTTGTGATGTAAGTGATGTAAGAGTGATGCAATCCAACCAATCAAATTACAAATAATTAAAAATATGTAAGAAATTATTTAAATAATGATACTTTCGCCCTCGATTAAAAATATAGTGTAATCGTGACGTGACCAGTGCGTATGTAATAAATATTTTTGAACTTTTAATTATATGAAAGACGCGACTTGACCGGGGATGTATTATTATTGGCACGTGATCCTCTATGCTGGGGATGTGTTTGTATTCTGTTAACAGTGTATTACAGATAAATAATTATAAATTGCTTAATATTTTTTTATGAAATGATTCTTATTCTTGGGTTGTTAATTAGTACGATCTTCTAACTACTATATGTTAATTTAATTAGTAGTCTTATCATATGCCCTCTTAAAGTAGGTATGGCTTAAAAAGGTTACTTTACTGGTATAACTTTAACTATTTAATTTTAAACCTTTGCTTGTTGCAATTTGTTTTCTATGTTTTTCCATCAATATTTAGCACTTTGATGAGTGATCTTGCATTAATGCACGTTTTCTACTTTCAGTCACTTCCAAGGAAAATTAATAATGCTAAATATCTCATTTGTTATTTGCTTGAGACTTTTGAGGGTGTTGGATATAGAGCAAATTATAACTATATTTAGATTCCTAATCAAATAGAATTGCTTGTTTAGCTGGCCTTCTTATCAATTCGAGGGTCGAGACTACTTCATTCACATTCCATCATCAATAGCTATGCTTTCCAATTTGGAATATTTGAAATTGAATCAAAGAATCATAGAGATGTCAAACAAAATACGAACTGCTTTAGAGATTGATTAGACCACCTAAAAATCTCGTTGACACTAAGGCAATTTTCGAATAGATCAGCTCCACTATCAGTTGTGTGAATCAAACTTTTTTTTTTCAAATACAACAGATACAACTCTACTATATACGACTTCTTAAACTGGCTTCTCCAGCGATCTTCAAACCCATTTAGACGTGACTGTGCTGCATTTATGAAGATCCCGTTCAGAATGCTCAGTACTTGATCATGTGATGGCGTAAGCAGAGTTCATACATTACCATATGAGGAGGTGAGTTCCATTGAAAATGCTCATGGATTCGCATAAACACAAAACAATCACACAGCCAACCAAGGAGTTAAAGAAAGACGTGTTCGCACATTACGCCACGACATAGCTTACCTTCACTAAGTTCTTGTGCAACGCAACAAAGTCGTCTTGTGATATATTTTTTGAGGATTTGCTTTAGCTGATAAACATTTTTCCAGTTAAGGATGTCATTGAATGGCAAATCATAACCATTGGACAGTATCACTACAATAAACCCTCTTGGAGTATCAGTAAGATAATTCAAACAGCAACCTACACACAATCATGAATCATTTTGTGCAGAGATCCATGGTCAAAAAATCCGGTCGGTGCTATCTAGAATTTGAAGCGGCACCTAAAGGACCCATCATGTACTGAAGTGTTGTCATATTGCAAAGAAAAATTCCACATTTATAAAAAAATACATACAGCACAGAGCACACAGTCACCCAATTTTGGTTAAGTTCCAAAACGGTATGCATAGTACCAAGTGATAGTGCCTGATAGATTATAACAATCAACCCACAGACCCCATTCTCACAAGGAGAGATCTTTGGTCAATCACAATGGACATGATGTGGTCAATTACAACACAGAATAAACAGGATGTACTTACCAGGAATACATCCATAATGTATGGAATCAACGATCCGAGCACTATTGACCTGGGAGCCACCACGGCATATGCAGAATTTGGTTTTGTAGAAATTCTTCTGATACAGTAAGGCTCCAGTAGCTCTGTCTATTCTGTTGTTCATAACATAAAGTTCAGCGTCGATCTCCCCTTCTCGTGCCAAAATGACCCTAATTTTAGAGTTCCTATGACCAGCCCAGTCTCCTAAAATTGTCCAGCAAAAAACACATTATTATTCAGACAGTGTCAAATTCTTACCTTTCAACATGTGAATTCAAAACTTCAGCAGTTTCCTAACAACGAAAATTAGCATCATGAAGAACTCCTAAATTATCACAAGTTGACAAAATCTATTTGAACATGCAGGTATATGTGCAAAGAAAATGGCCTTTATGATTTGCATATCAACCAAGTCTTTTCTCTACCCAAAACCAAAAACGTAGATCTGCTCCTCTCCAGTTGCATTCATCACTGAGACAACTAAGTCTTTTCTCTATGATGGCTTAAATTTGACATCCAAATAAATCCACTAACTTGCTTTAGCAAATTCTCATTAACTATATAACTCAATAGTTACCTCAAATTTACACATTCAGAACAGAACCTAGAGGAAATACTTAAAAAAAACTAAACTTTATGTGCATACCAACTTTAGAAACTGAAAAACGCAATTACAAATCAATCATTAACTTTAAATTGAACCCAACACAAAAGTCGTGCACTTCAGATACGGATTTTAGTAACCACGCAACACTAAAATAAATAAATAACAAATAAAGAGTTACTGAATAGGGGGAAAAATACAATTGAAACAAAGGTGTGACTTCAAATTAAAGGAAAATAGCTCAAACCTCAACCGCAATGTTAGGTAGGGGGAGATATCAGAACTGGCATAGTTCACATACTGAAAATCAACTTCAAGAAATTTGTAAAACAAGAGAGGGGTTCAAATTATCAAGAACACAAAGATCGCGCATAACCAATTTTCCAGCCCAAGATGAAATTTTTCAACTTGAATTAAAGCCTCTATGGCAAAGAAATTATGTGAATATTAGTTACCATATTCTTGGCGCGGGAGATGTACATTATTTCAGCTTCTCTGCTTAGCATTTGAAACACATCTTTTTGCTTTATTAGTGTTTGAACCTAAGAATAAAGTTGTTATATAGGGAAGAATGAGC